TTTGAAATCAAATTCATTCTTTGTCCTACTGTGCTGAAGGCATGAGGCAAGTGGTTGTATGGTTGGTTGTTTCAGTGGCTGGTGGGATGTTCGGTAGGGTGGTTGGGTGGTTGGCTTCTTTCGACTGTTTCTCATACATAAATTAAAAAGCTTGTGCGTGTTTATGCATTTTGAGCTTCGCCAGCACGTTTAGGCGCGACTCTTGTTGCTGTAACTCTATTGTTGTTGCCGTGCGGGCTGCTGTTGCATTTACACACACAACGGAAAATAAATGAAAAACCTTCCATCTGTTTTTTTTTTTTGCATTTTTCAACCGAATTACACAAAAATATTTTGTATTGCGCTTTGTTCACGCTCTACGTAGGATGACGAAGAGCAAAATAAAAGGTAGCAGGCAAGAGCAACAAACAAACAGCAGCCGCAGCAGCAACTTGCAACAAAAGTTGTTATGTTTTTCATGCTTGTGGGCGGTTGCTGTGGCGGTGGCTGTTGCTGTTGTTGTTGTAGCATGAAGAGCAGGCCACTCAATTTAAATTGCATTTATTTAAATTTGTTGTCGTTGCTACGCTGCGTACTTAGCTTGTTATGGCACGTTGCCTTTCGCTTGGACCTCGAAAAACACTTTGTTGGCATTGCAAAAGTTTGCAGCATTTTTTCCATTTTTATTCTCTGTTGTGTGCGCATTTTGTGGCAAATATGCCAGCACTTGAGGCATTTAAGGGGCACCAAGAAAAAGAAACAGGTTGAAACTTGCAAATTTCTAACTAACGTTTAATTTGTTAGCAAGTACTTGTAAGTATCTGTTCGAGTTTTAGTTTTTAGAGGAGCTACTCTTTGTGTTCTTCACTGCACATTTTAGTCTTAGATTAGAAAACTTTAGCAGTTCAGTTGCATAATAATCCATTGTTCCACTGATTGTAATTGCGCTTCGGAATGTTTGTTTGCTTTGAAATTTGAATATCATCTCTTTGCTTTTTTAAATATGTCTTTCATTGTCCGGAAATTGTCGTTTTTCATGCCGCAGTTTCAAATTCCCGTAGGTCATATCACTGTGACTCCAATAAGGATAATATGATATTCAATAGAGAATAGAGAGCAATTTCTCTGTACTAGAAAAGAATGTTAGAAGGGGGTCATCAAAGGTTTGCCATCGCCTGTAAGCAACGTATCGATTGCAACGATTTTGATTTCATTGGAAGATGTATTAGAACATTGTGTTGGTCCCTAAACAAAGCAGTATCTTAAAATTTGCTGGAATTAGTGATTACTCTTCCTTGTGGACAATGGACAGACAAGCCTCACTCGAACTTGTAATTTGGAGGCACCACACAACTAATAACTAATATGTGCCAGCAAGCCGTCTGTATATTAGTGCAACTGTCTTGCCAGTACATACATTTTTAAGCAATTTTAAATCATTCTCTTTATCACAAAGTTCTATTTTTTTTTAATAATTCAGTTAGAAAGGTGCGCTATCGTGCAATTAAACGGAGTTGTTCATCGGCCTAGTCACAAACTTTGAAAAGTTTTAGCGAGTCTATGCCTGACTACAGACTACTTAAAGACTACTTAAAATTCATTTTAATATTCAACAGCTGCAAGTTTCATGAAAACCCATTAAAACGCAGTCTTCATTTGCTATTCAAAACAATATCCAGACGAACGAAATCAGCCAATGGCGTCTGGCCTGTTTCGTATCCTTGCCAGCTCAGCCGGCATCTCGCCATGTGATTTTGAACAAATGTCTAGACAATCAATTTTTTCAGGTTTCTAACGCCTCTCAAAATTCATTCACGATTGCCTTGATTTAATGCACAAAAGCTTATTAAATGGCATACGAATCTCACGTTTTACGACAGAAAAGAATTTCTCATGCTAAATTATTTTTTTTGTATGTACTTATGTACATTTGTATGTATGTATGTATGCATGTATGTATGTACATCATGGAAATTGTTGCTGCTAATCACACTTTTGGATTTAGAATTTTACGTATAATTTGCAAAGCACACAGACACGAATACGAGTACATTCAGTTGGAAACATTTGTACAATAAACAAAATCGAAGCACAATTATTTATAATTTGTGCATATTTTTCTTCACATTTATAAACGACGCGACGGCGACGGCAATGGTGAGGACAACGACGACGACGACGCGCTGCTAACGGCCAGCGTTATAATGTTAACTGAACAGAGAACTGAACAGTAAGCGAATCGAATACGAAACGAAACGTAAAGCAATCTGCTATAAAAACAGCAGCAACAACAATCGGCCGCAGTAGCAATGATAAAAAGTAAATGGCACTCCAGTCCAAATGAGAGAGCGATGGAAAGATAGAGAGGGAGAGAGAGAGAGGGAGCGCTGCTCTCTCAACACGAAGGCAAGTGCAAAATAAACAAAAGCACAAAACGTGCGCATGAGAGAAAATGATGGCAACAGTGTGAGAGTGCGGCGGGTGTGAGAGTGTGTGTGTATGTGTGAGTGTGTGCGTGTGTGCGTGTGTGTGCTTGCCGGCATCAAGTTTATGGCTTGAGTTGAGTTGGTTTTAAAATCAACAACAAACAAAGCGCAAAAAAGCTCAAAGTTAAATAAACAACAAAAAGGAGCTGCTGCTGCTGCCGCGGCCCAAACGACCAACCGACCGTCCGACAGACCGACCTAATGCCGCACGTTTACTGTTCTACAATGTGGAAATTTAATAGCCATCAAAAATGTCTGAGCTAATTATGGGAAACGTTCACACTGAGAGCAAATACATAAACATATATGTATATCCTACGGAATTTTGCTTTTATTAGAAACTATGTATGTATATTGAGCATGTTTTAACAATTTAACAGAACTAACAATATATAGTACTATTAGCTTAGTTATTTATTCATCGACAAATAAGAGCAACTATTATTGAAATGTTTTCTATATTGTGTTAGGCTTAGTGTATTTCTTAAATCTGTGATCTGAATACGTGTGATTGAAATTTCGGAATCATCTTCAGATAGAACGTTTCATAAAAAGAGAGCTAAAGGAAAGGCAAGGACATGAATGCGCAGTAGTAGTTGCCGAACCAACTGAATATGTAGTTTTGGAAACCTCTTCAGATACGATAAATAAAATACAAATAGGGCTTACATGAAAAGCAAATCTAATGAGTGTGGGAATATGGCAAATCCTCTTCGGAAACAATAAATGATATAAAAAGAGAGCTTACATGAGAAGAAGACCGACAGAAGATGGGGAACTCTATTCCGAAGCTGCAGTACCTTTTTTTGTTTTTCATAAATTTATTTGTATTTAGAAAGTCAAAATGGATAACGAAGCTTTTTTCCTGCTATTAATAGTCAGTGCTCATTGGGAACTAATTTTTTGAGTGTATTGTGATAAAAACTGATTACTAGAGCTTTAGTCGCGTCAACATGTGTAAGTAAGCATAAATATAAATCACAGGAGCGCACACACACAACTGTTATTTGCATTTGTTGTTGTTATTATTGCTGTAAACAATCAACAGCGCGCAATTTTTTGCTGTTATTTGTTTATTGTCGAGGCGTTTCAAGTAGCGCCGAGTCTCATTGCAAAGTTACATATGCGTGTGTGTGTGTGTGTAAGCATGAGTATACATATGTTCTTATTTAGTCGTTTATCTATCTGACTGGCAAAATAAGCGAGTGAGAGCCCGGCAGCAACAGAGATAGAGCGTGAGTTGAAGAAGCGATAAATTTCAAGTAAATTGCCGCAAGTGCAAAAACAAATATGCTGCGCTGATAAACAGCCGCCGCCAGACACACATATCGTGTGTGAAGATGGGCGTTAAATGGGGCTTAGTCAGGGCTTTTCGTTTGTCTTATTAATGGCTAATTAGTTGAATTTGCTTAATTGGGAAAGAAACAGTTCTATGGCTGCGCCAACAGCATAGCTATGTGAATATTGAAGGCAGCCCAAAAGTAGGCAATGCTTTTTTAAAATGCTTACTTAAGATCTGTTCACACTCTTCTTTTTTAAAGCCGATTGCATTGCATAAGATTCGTTATAAACAACACTAAATGTTGGTGTTGTTTGTTATTAAGCACAATTTTTCAATTTCGAGAATTATTAATTAATTAGATGAAGGTTCGCAGAACAGCAAAAAAGACAGTGTTTTTTCGTAAAAAATCGTTTCAAATTAACGAATTTGCATATTTCTTTTCAATGCATAATGATACCAAAAATATGTTGAAAAACAGTCGACCACGTATTTTAAGATTTTTAAATCTAAATTTAGATACAGTTTTGTAAATTAAATATTTTTTTTAAATTATTTGTTGAATCCAGATGTGCCTACTTCCCTTATAGATTTCAATCAATTCTAAATAGAATCGAAGATATGCTAATTTCAAACATTTATTTTCGGACTATCGAGAACGCGACTCTTGAGTACCTATCCTTATCTACGTTACAGCCAATATTCTATACAAAAATAGAAATAAAGAAATACGTTTTTGATACTAATCCTGATTTCAGTCGCAATCCTGCATATAGCAGCTATATGGTGCTCTGATTTAACTTCAGAAGATTATGAGGCAGACGCACATCTAACAGATTTGTTAAACAAAAAAGCATGCTGATTTTACCACCGATCATTCCTACGACAGCTATATAATATAATGAGGCTATGTATGATGTGTAATATACTTGCTCAAGAATACATGCCAAGTATGTTGCCTCCAGCTATTATGGTTGAAACATTTTTGGGGATCATACAGACAGACGGACAAATGGAGATTATGTATGCGGCTAGTCATGCTGATTATAAATGTAACTACGCCCGCCTTCTTCAGTCCGTTACATTATAAAATTTATAAAATTGCTACGAAAACGTTTTAATGTTAAATATACCCGTACAACTAGCTGTGCCGAGTAGCTCTATTTTTGAAAATGTTCACAGATATTCACATTCGTTGGCCCCCTAATCGTTGCCTTACAAATTAGCATGCATTACAAATTGCTGTTGGCACTCACCATTATTATTGCTGATGGCAAATCGTTGCTGCAACTGCTGTGCCAGCGCCTGATGATGCTGGGCAAGTGGTGTCAATGGCGGCGGCTGCCCCACACCCAGCTGCTGTGGTGCCGACTGTGAATGCGGCACACCGCCACTCTGCGAGGATGTGTCCGAGGCGCCATCGCCGCCGCCACCACAACCACCACCGCCTCCGCCATTCGACATAGAATTTTGTGTATTGGCCACATTGGTGCCGTTGAGCATGGAATTTGCATTGAACTGCTGTACGGAAATGGAGTTTGGAACCCCCAACGATTGTTGTTGCTGCTGCTGCTGTTGCTGATGTTGTTGTTGCTGGTGCTGTTGCTGCTGCTGGCTGATGAGGGCACCGCCGGCGCTGCCATAGGTGGTGGCATTTATGGAATTGTTGGCTTGATTTATGGAATTATTGTGGACGGCAGAGAGTATGGAGCCATTGGCAGCAGCGCCGCCATTGTTGCTGCCATTGTAGTACGAGTCCTCACCTGCAGGAACAGCAAAAGGGAGAGAGGATTAGTTTGCGGAAAGTAGAATGAAAGGTTGCTGCTCATTCATAAAACTGGCAAGCTTTTTGCGTGAGCTTTCACAAAACTTTCCCTAGCTTTCACCAAACTTTTGGCGAGTGCGCCATCTGGCGTTTGTTGGCAGCTTTTTGCCACACACAAGCGGCTTATGCTTGAGGTAGGTTCGAAAAATGTCCTCCCCCATGCCCCATCCTCCTTAGCTACCCCTTCCACGAAACTCATTTGAATGCAATTCGCGTGCGTGGCTGTTTGGAAAGGTGTCTTCATGTTGTCTTCGTCTTCTTTGACGCTCGGTAGCCGACCGGCATCAACAATTAGAAGCAGCTGATTAATTGCCATTTGGGCGAGTTAGCTTGCTGACAAACGCCTTGCATGGCCTGGGAAGCAGGCAATGTCTAGCCCGTCTTAGCCCTGTCAGTTCTGCGAGCGTGCACGATACGGAAGGAAACATTATTAGCGAACAAACTGCTTAGACAAGTGCCAGAAGTTTGGCAGCCCCAGCTCGCTGACTTGGCAGAATTGGCCGCAGCGTGCATGGATTATGGCCAATTTCCGTTTGTTGACTCTGCTTTTGACAAACACGTCACGGTGGGCCCCGCAATGCTTCGAAGAATTTGTAATAGATAGAAAAGTTGAAGCACAACTAAGTATGTTATTGAGGCTGATGGCCAATGATAGACCCAAAACATTGACTAAGCACTTTTTCAATGTTTGTTTAGCAAAGATCGACCTGTTTATTTTAAAATGCTGGCCGGCTTTTTCTATTCAATTGAATTGTCAATTGTCTAAACAGACCGTTATCGTTGAGATTGAGAGCACTTTAAAGTAGGCAAACAAATGTAGGAATGGGTGATAGTACACTGATAAAAAAAAAACGCGGAAATTTCAATACTAACACGTAGATTTAACTATTTTAATATTAAAATATTAAATTTAAAGTGTGACGATATTAAATCACAAGTGATGATATGCAGACGTGGGTTTGATTCACGGCAAAGGTTTATTTTTTATAATTATAAAATATTTTTTCCACACTTTTGTCTACTCTACTGGCTTTTTAAACTATTTTTAATATTGACATTGCCATGATGCCTATTTTATGTCTATATATATAATTTTTTTCTATAGAACCATTTTTAGCAGAAAGTAATTTAAAATTCTTTTGTTATGAATTGATTTTCTTGATGTTTTTTATGGCTTTTAATATGGATATATAGTTTGGATTGAGAATTTACTATAATTATAATACTATTATTATTATCATAATTTACTATGGAATATAGTAAATTTAACTATTTGTTTTTTGAAGTGTGTGCATATTAATATTTAATATGGTTCAACATTAAATTGAATATGACACACTTTAATAACGAAGTTTTACACTTTGTATTGAATATTATAATAGTGATTGAATATTTAAATAGTGATAAGTAATCAATATTCGATAGTAGCCGATAACAGGGAAGTAAGAGATCAATTGATATTGACCAGCCAACGAAGGAGGACGCCAGTGAAATTTTGAATTAAACGGATATTTGTGAAATATTGTTATTTTTAATTTAACAATTGTAATAAACTTAATTAATCCAACAATTATTTTGCTTGTGATTTGTGATCCAAAACGATACGCCTATTATCAATAATGTGAAAGGAATCGACACAAAATTGAATTGCTATAGACGATCTCAAATATTCTGAGCACATGATACAACAATTAGCCACTATAATGAGTGATAACTGAGAATGTGGGAATGTTGCTGGAAATTGTATTCTTTTAACACTTACCCGGCTCTGGAATATTGCCAAGTGGACTGTCCGGCAGCAAAATGCCCTTTTGGACAAGCTCATCGCGATTGGCACGTACAGAAATTTTACGTTCAAGTGCTGCGAAGCAAAAATAGTTGCAATCGATAAACATTCTGCAACATTCTGAAATACTGCACAACTTACATTTTGAAGTGGCCTCGAACTTCTCGCTTTTCTTTTTCCGTCTCCACTTCCACGGCTTGAAGAAGCGGCCCAATGCGCTCAGCTTGCTTTTTCGTTCCAGCGGTGGGGTACGAGTGCCGGATCCCAAACTATTTGTGCGTATGGCGGCGCCATTTTGCTTCTTGGCTGCAAAAGACAGAGAAGGAGAGGAAAACCGAAACAATTAGCAACAATTTTCAATCAAATTAAACATAAAAAACAGCAATTGTGCTTGGATTTTGTGGGGATTGTGGGGGGTTGAAGGCCTGATTTCGGAAAACCGCGTTGGGGCTGCGCATGCGCCCCAATAAGTAATAAGTAAATGCATAAAAATCCAATGTGGAGCGGAAGCGGAAAGGCATAACTGTTGTCAGTGGGGGGGAGGGAGGTGGAGGAGGCAGTAGCAACATCGTTGCACGTCACTTGTGTGGCATGTTGATGGAATGTGGTTGTGGCCGTTGAAAGCAAAAATTGAAAATGAAAATTACAAAACATTTTTGCCAAGCACAAGCGCCAGAGAGTCAATGCAGTTGATTGTTGTTGCTATTGGGCAGTGGTTGTGCCGCATGAAAAATGCATGGCAAGTTTCTGTTGTGCTATTTTGTTACTGTAGTTGTTGTTGTTTGTTTATTTTAACGTACATGGTCATCGTTTATGTTGTTGCCTCTTGCTATTGGCTTTATGTAATCAGCGCAACTTCGATTACAAATTCAAAACGAGTTTTCTTCAAGCAACGACAACAACAATCACAACAACTGTGTCTCTTGATCTAACAAAATATTCTAAGCAAATTGGTTGGCATTTGACGGCAACCAACAGCCTGAACTTGCATACAAATGTCGAGCAATTCGTGCTTAAACCTAATTGCCACTTCAAGAGCACAGAGTCAGACAAGAAAACTTAAAATGCAGGCAACACAACCAAACAACTATTAGATACTCTAATGCTATCCACAAAATTTTTAATTTAAAATATAAAATTTTTTAAAAACCTATAACATAGAAGGTAATTCAAAATTTGTAAGACAATTGCTTAAGTTTAGCTAAAAGGGGACGATTGGAAAGAGGCATTAAAAATGTAACAAATACTTGCACTTCCTTGAATGGAGCCGACATACTGAGCTCAATGAAGTCAACTCTTATACTTTTCACGATCAAGGCTTTCATACAGTCATACAATCAGACCCAGATCTTAGTGTCCAATAACTTAGATACATGATAGGCCACAATAAAGAATCGTTCTTGTATTAAGTAAATGCTCCCTGGTTACTACATATATAGAACTATATATACTATAGAACAACAAAGAACTGTTGAAGGAAGGCAACAAATATAGAACAGTTTCTTTAATAAAGCGTGCATACCAAGTTTTATAGAGCCATCTTGTATACTTTTTAAGATCAAGGCGTTCATACAGACGGACTAACAATCACACTTAAAGATCCAGAAACTATATCAAATTATTTTATCGAGTTCATTACGAATATTGGTGCAATTTTATAGCAAAGACAGTGTACAAAAAAAAAACGGAATAGCCTTTAAAAGGTAATCCAAACACAAATGCTTTAAGTAAATTTACTTTGTTGTGCTACAACACCCACATATGTAGACAAACTTGAGCACTCGCTGCCCTAACTAAGCTCCAATGCCCCTCTCAGCCTCGCAGGTACAAACCGCACTTCTAGTTGAAAAACTTTTCTTTGCCTGTCGTTCAAATATTTATAGACGTAAGATATTTGTGCTTCATGTCAGTTTGCATTAGCAATCGCATTTCGTTTTTGGCCAGCAAAGGTAGCACAGAAAAAATAAAGAAGAAGCTAAAGCAGAAAAAACCACAACGGGAATCAAGGGGAGTGAACAAAACTGTCGTCTCACATTTGCCTGGCCCGCTGACTGGCTGGCGAGCCGGGCTGCTTTTTGTTGTTGTTGTTGATGCTGCCATGCTTGCCGTTGATGGAAGGTAGATAAGCTCTTGCCACAACTACCTACACCCACTTGCCCACACATACAAACCAACATACGTACTCGTATAGTATGTACGAGCTGCATTCAAGCGTTGAAATTAGGCTACACACCACATATGTACATATGTTGAAGCAAGCATCTACACTAGCTGCCTTTTGTATTTGGACAAATGCTGATATGTTACGTGCCTATTTTAATTGATATTTAATTTGATCTAACCTTGGAATCTATACGTCTGTCTGTATGAACGCCTTGATCTTGAAAAGTAAAGAAGTTATCTGCCAGAAACTTCGTATGCGCTTTTTTGTAAGCAAAGTGCAAGTATTAGTTACATTTTTTATGTTTTTCGACTACATCATAAAACTGCTCAAAGACATTAGATTGGAAAGAAGCTTAATTTGTATTAATACTTGCTGGCAATACAAAATGCTCTATTTTTCACTACTGCGGGAGTTTGTGTAGAGCCAGTTTCTATGTACGACAGACAATTTCTTTATGCAATGGTACCGAAGTTAGAAAAACTATCTCGAGAATTTTCAAAAATTAAAAAAATAAAATAAAGTAGATAATAATAATAAAAATAAAAATTCTGTAAAACGGAAATCTATTGCCTCCCTAATAATGTACCCTTAACAAAGACGTTCCTTGCCGTTGGAATTGAACTTTCAGTTTTCGATTTACTTAAATAAATTATTTAATCAGAATACTTCTATCATCTAGTGTATATATGGGCAAGTGAGGCAAAAGCAAAGCATAAGAAAAAACTGTAAATTGTAAAAAATGGACTAACAACTATTTGGCTTCCTTTGCCACTGGGGGCACCTTTTGCCATCTGAAGCTGACGACGACGACGATGACGACGAGGACGTTGCCATGCCAAGCCATGCCCGCTCTTCAATAGTTTCTATGCTATGTCGTATGTATGTAGTAGTTGGCCCAATTGTGGTCAATTGTTGGTCACTTTTCTTTCACGCTTGATTTGAGTTGCATAACTGGGAGCGAGAGAGTAGGAGATGGGGAGGACAGATCGAAAGCACTGGGGCTCGACTTTAAATGCCGCACAAATGTGTGTCATCAACTCAAAAGGGGGGAGGCTAGTCAGTCGGGTTGGCACTCTTTGGGGCGCAATTTGGCGCCAAGAAGGGGAAGAAGCAGTAGAGGAAATAGCAAAGCACAGAGGAGAGCACGAAAAACAAAAGTCGGCTAAACACGCGCGTCGCTCAGCACGAGACCAAAATTTCTTAAAGCGCGCACATCACACATTTTGTATTTTGCCTTTTTTCTTTATTATCAGTTTTTATTTATTTTATTTTTTCCCATTTTGCGAGCAGAATGTGAATGTGCGACTAAAAGGCAGAACGTAAAAATATGTAAAACAAAAATAAACAATACACGCCGCTGGCGACTACACTGACAACAATAACAACAGCAGCAAGTGGTGGGTTGTTGTTGCTGTTGTTATTGTCGTCATACATATTAAAATTATATACGAGCATTATTTTCATTTTTTTTTTTTTGTACTTTTCGATGGGTAGTGGAAAACCTGTTTTGGATGCCAACGTCGCTCATTTGAATGAATGCAGCGTAGCCTCAGATTTGGCTTCTAAACAAGCAACAACAACAACAACAACTACTACTACCACAACAACAACTACTACCACAACAACAACAACAACTACCACAACAACAACAGCAACCACCACAAAGGCAAGTGAAGGGCGCGACGGCGTTGGCGAAAAAAAAAACCGATATAAAAATATAGAAAAATAAAAAAAATTCACATTATGCCAACGCGTGGAAAACGGGTTTTCGCGAAAGTTGTTGTTGCTTTTGTTGTTGCTGTCAGCATCATTGTTGTTGCCTGCCGTTGTTATTCTCGCTCGAGCGGCATTTTTGGGCGCCCAGCCGCAAAAGGCCAAAATGTATGTGTGTGCGTGTTGGAGTCTGGTGGAAAATTGGCTTTAAAAACAAGTCATAAATAGATGACAACAGCGACTTTCCCTGTTGTTGTAAAAGTGTGAAAAACACAATGAATTATGGCCATGCATGGATGTTTATGGTTACATACTCGTATATTTGCCCATGCAAAGTAGTTTGAATATGCTCGGGTTGCTATTTGAACCGTTGTATGGGTAGGGGGGGAATAGTTGGCCCAAAGCGAGTGCCGTAAAGGCTTAAGTCATAAACTGAAAATTTGTTGAATTCATTCGTCATATTAACGCTTTACATCAATTGAAAGCAAATGTGATGTTCATATGGAAATAATGGAATACGATGTATATTTGTACACAAAATCAAGGACTACAAGGATACACGCAATAAAATATATATACCTCGCATAAAAAATGCATATTTATTTGTATTTAACATTTTTAAGCTATTTAGTAAGTTTTTCAACTGTGAGAACTAATTATATTAAAAAAGGATATAAAGGAGCTTCAGAGGGAGTAAGTACCTCTCTAAGTTTTTAAACAAAATGTCAGTACAATTTATTTATATCTAATTATTTAAGTGTTCATATTTAATTAGGCTTGACATTATGTCTTGAATTCAAAGAAATAGCAATTGCTTGGAATTTAATATTTAAAAAAAAAAATAGCTGCCTAAAATAGTTGAATATAAATAGAGCATATTTCTATTATTAACCAAATTCCCATATAACGAGATTTTTTCGTAATTCGTCACAGGACCTGTTTTCATGGCCAAAAAGCCGACTGTTAGCTCACTTGCTTTGTTCGAGGACTACCCGGAGGATTCTTAGCTGCTTTTAAAGTAAGCTTGTACCCTAATTCAATCGTTCATCAATAGAAATATTGTCCTTCCCAAGTAGATCGAACATACACTTTTCACGCTAGCATGCATTTCCCACCTATTTGAATATTTAGAGAGAGCATATTTTCTGCACCAATATCATTATATAGACCTAATTTAAATCGTCAAGATCTCCACCTAACCACTAAATATCTTGAAATAAATAACAACAAAACAAATAAACAACAACAAATCGGAATATTTCTTAGGTGCTTTTTATTTTGAATAGAATTATTATTTTTGTTTGTTTTAAGAAACTTTTTCTCTATCCATGATGTAATTTTTAATGTAAAACTTGAAGTAAAATATATTTATGACAGAAGATGAAGAATGTCAATTAGTTTCACGCTTGAATGTGGATTATAAGAAGAA